CACACATGGGGTTTGGGTTTTGTGCCCTTTGCAAAGCAAAACACTAACGTTATATTTCAACTGATGTTTTTAGTTTTGGCAAACAGAGATGCCAACTTGGCTCTGGTGTCTAAGTAAAGAACAGTGCTTCGATGTGAAAAACAAGCTAACTCTTCACTGCAGAGGAAGGCTGAGAAACAAGGGCTGCAGAGGTCTGATGTGGCACCCTCATCCTCCTTTGGGACAGGCACTGGCCTCTGGCAGAGCTTGTCCATGCAGGTGGCAGCGGGAGAAGGGGAGGGTGGGCAGCAGCTCCACAGCCCGGCAGCCACTGCAGCTTCCAGCTTTTGAGCCAAATCTCTGCAAGGCCTGGAGAGGAGGGTGGGCTGGGGGGGTGTCAGAGGAGGGTGGGCTGATGAGGGGCAGCAGCCGTTCCTCTGAACGGCAATAGCGCTCCAGTGCAGCCCAGCAGCGGAGCTGCCAAATTTCCACTGCGGAAGAGACAGAAATTTTCTCTTCGAGCCTGACAGCCACTGCCTAAATCGTGCTGTTGGCCATGCAGGAACTAATTCACAAGTGCTGTGTCCCCCACAGCCCCCCACCTTCTCCTGTGCACTCTCCTCACAGCACGAGCAAGATCCTCTGTCCGTGCAGCTCCCAGCCCGCTCCACCCTGGCACTGGAATGCACAGCTCTGCTCCCAAGCCATCCTTCTTCACCCCTGTTTATTTTCTTATTCGTTTATTACAACTCAGATAAGTGTTTGGGGACATGTGGAGTAAATAAACTACAAAATCAAGCTGAACTACAACAATAAAAGGACAACAAACGTTGAAGAAACGGAGAAAGGATGACGCAGAGACGCGTTATGGAAACCACAGTGCGGAAAACGTGGCATGACAAGAGATAAAACAAGGAACCCCATAAATGGCAAACGAGGAGAGAGGCATTAACAAACCCTCTGAGTTCTACCTTCTATGTGAGTGATTTTCTTTTAAATCTACTTTTTGTGAGAGCAGGATGAAAGGCGCTGGGTGAAACACAAGAGAGACCTGCCAGAGGCTCACCAGCAGGAGAAGAGCAGGATCAAACCCACATTTTCACTGCAACAAGGAAAAAGCCACACGCAGAAGAACACCACCGGTAAACTTAAAAATTGCAGGAAATACAGGGGAAAAAATCAGTGCAGACAGTACACGAGGTTTGGCTGCACCAAACTGCAAATCACGAAAGTAAGACACACGTTGATGCTGCTCAGGATTATCTAATTGCAACTTTTGCCACGGAGCAGGAACACCTTCAAACCCACCTCGCTGCTGGATGCCTGTTCTTACCGAGCAGGACGTTTTCCTTAACACACTTCTAAACACCACCAAAAATAAATTAAAAAAAAAAACCAACAAATATCTTAATTTTAAAGAAAGGTAAATTTCTCAGCCATGGGAACAGCACTCAGACCTCTCTGAAGCTTTAGGGAGGAGGACAATAAACAACCCAGTCCTCTGGAACACCAGAGCCCATTCTGCTGACAGAACACCACAGAATTGCCTCCTTGTTCATGCTCAAACTATAAGTAAAGTTGCTTAAGGGACTGGTCCCTTCCATAGGCCGAATGAATCTCATTGGCAAAATATTTATCTAGCACCTCATTTGGGCCTTTTTCCCCCTCCAGAGTTTCTTACAAAAGAGAAACGCAGCCTTGTTTTTGCTGGGATACGGCTTCCTACAAGAATGACATTCCAGGCTGTCTCAGTTTTTTTCTAGGAACAGCAGTAGAGCTATTCTGCCTCTGTGGCCTGAACACTATTGCACAGATACTCCACTGCCTGTGGGTTTACCTGAGTTAGAGTTTGATTTAAACTGGATTGTTTTTTTCCCTGATAGCTTTTGAAGACACCTCAAGCCTTGAAAAGGCTTTTCCTGCATTACAAAATCATACCAAAATCCACTGATTGTCGCTGACTCTTGAAATTTAAACTATCACAGACTGCAGGTTCAGGAACGTGCATGAAATCATAAGATCTGTTTATTTTAAGGTTTGGTTGGGTGAAGTCACCGGCTGGGCAGTGCAACCCCAGGGCTCGTTGCCAAATCCACAAAAAACCCCGCCGGGTTTGGGAGGAAAGTTGTGACCCCCTAGCCCAGAGCCTGGCGACAGCAGAGCTCCTCTGATCCCAGCCTCTCCTTCTCACCCAGGCACAAACAGTATTCCATGCCAATGAAGGAAAACTAAGGAAGTCTCGTCTTTGTACATCAAGATCCTAATTTCCACTTCAAACCTACCACACCACCAGAGACGCGTCAGAAAGAATCAATATTTGCACGGGAAAGTCGGAAACCCTTGATGAGCTTTATTTCCAGTTGAGGAACGAGAGAAGGCGACGAAAGCTCATGAAACAGCTCAGGCTCGAATAAACACGAACCAAATCCGGTAAGGCTGAGAGCAGAGCACTCAAAAAGAGATGGATCAGAGCGTTCCTCGGATGGAGGGGCTCAGAAGTGCAAATGCTGCCACTCGAAGTGTGTCGCTCCTCGAGCTCGGTTGTTTAAGTTGTGCGCTGCGGATTGTTTGAAAACAACAGCCTTTTGCTGCTGGTCCCAGCCAGGCTTTGTGTTACACTTCAAGAACCCGACTCTGGCCATGGGAAGGGGCCAATATTGCCAGTCCCTGCCTGGAGACTGCTCCCAGCGAGGTATGTGGTGTCTGGGAGCTGCAGAGCCGATTTCCTTAGTGATTCTTTGGATGGGGCATTTCTCTGGGCTCCTGGTAACGGTGCTGCCGCAGTTGGCATTTATTTCCCCAAAGCTGCTCCACCTAAAACCCTGGACATGGGGGGGAATTTCATCCCTAGGCCTCACTTTTACAGCTAGAGGAAGGGAATGGCACTGCTGAGTGCAGCTGAGAGCACACACGCCACAGGGTCCGGGAGCTTTGGCACTGGGAATTTTCTGAACTCGGCCTTCTTTAGGGCTGCCTTCATTTCAGAGTAATTAATTTTTTAAAAAAAAGGTTTTGTTGAGATATTAAGAGAAAAAAAAATTTCCTCTAATGAGAGACTAGACAGCAGTCATTAAAAATGTTATTTATCTGTCAGTGTTCAATAAAGGGAACATGAAATTAACAGACAAAGCCACTTGTGTAACCTCACTGTGCCACAAGTCAGAGCCCCTCTCGCCCCAACAGAAATGAATCTGTAAATCCTTCACAGTAATAACAAAGGTGTAAGTACACCTGCCTTCTTTGCCAACAACAGGAGTCAAACAGGGCAGTAAATTTAAAGGAAACCCCCTTCAGCACATCTTCCTTCCACCAGCCATGAGAACGGGAGCAGTACCCATTTTCAGCTGACTGCACACACAAGATGATGTGCTGCCTGACTCTGTGGTCGAAGTTCCAAAGGCACCCATCCCACAGCTCCTCCCTTCCACACTGCTCTCCACAGTGCCACACACAAACACTTCTCCCTCAGAGTCAGGGGAAGATCAGTGACACCACCCATTGCTTCAGCTGGTTTCCCTGCCCCATGTTTTGCTGACCTGCAGGAGCTTCGTGCCCAGCTTCCCTTTGTCATTGCACAACAGCATCTAATCCAAAACGTTTTGAGAGCTTTTACAACTCAGCGCCTCTGAACAACAATAACAAAAAGCCAAACGAAGGACAGATCAGCACAGCCTTCAGGAGGCTGCTCTACAGTGACCAGCGATGCGCTGGCACATTCCACCCCTGTCATAGCCTCGGGAGCTGCAGTCCCCCATCTCTAACCAACAACAGATAACACAAACCCAGAAACTCCTTAATAAAAACCAGTCTTTCCCAGATAGGGACTTTTTGCAACAAACAATGGCCGGTTTGTTTGGAAAAGTCTAAATATATCTTGTAAGAAAAGAGCTGGAAAATACCTTGCCTGCTGGATTTAGAGATGTGCCTTTTCCTGAGGTTAGTCCAGACACACTGCAAAACCTACAATTTATGTTTACTGTGGTGTTCCACAACTTCTACAGTATCTCTGTATTGACACTAAGAAGTGGAAACTTAGTTAAGAATATGGAAAGAGAAAAGCAGACCCTTAACGTAGTGAAATCCCAGCAGAAGTTAGTTCATGTGAGATTCATCTGCTGCGCCGGGCCCCACGTCATCTCTTATTCAATCACTCAATGCTTTTGCCTCATCAAGAACTGAAAAGTTGCTTCCCACAGAACACAGATTTAGGTTCAAACCCAAACTTTTCCCTTATGTCTGTTTTTGTGCCATACAGTAACTTTACTTCAGTGACTGTGCACGTGCACCATTCCAGTGCCCCTCCACAAAACATGCCTGATTGATCTTCCCAAAACAACAAAACCAGCATCTGGACACAAACATCTGTCATCCCATCCCGGCGCTTCCATGGACAAATGTTTATTTGAATTTGTTAGCTAGGACCTTTGAATTTTCTGTTAACAGCGTTTAACCCACATCCAACCACTCATTCACCCCAACACCTTCCTCCTGCCATTCCCCCAAAACCCCCGAATTCAAACTCTGGGCACAGAACCTCCTGCATTCCCCCAGAAATCAAATTCTGGGCAGAAAACCTCCTGCCATCCTCTAGAATCTCTGAATTCAAACTCTGGGCACAGAACCTCCTGCATTCCCCCAGAAATCAAAACTCCGGGCACAGAACCTCCCTCTCCATCGCCCCGCGGCCCCGCCGGGCTGTCCCTTTCGGGACACACGGGGTTATCCCGCTCTGGGTCTGGGCCGAACCCCGGGGAGGCGGCTCGGGCTGCGGGTCCGTGCATCCCCCGCGGGGGCTCCGCGGGCACCGAGCGGCGGCCGGACCGGGACGGTACCCGCGCTCTATCCCGGTACCCGCGTTCTTGTCCCGGTACCCGCGCTCTATCCCGGTACCCGCGTTCTTGTCCCGGTCCCCGCGTTCCGCCCCGGTACCCGCTCTCTGTCCCGGTACCCGCGCTCCGTCCCGGTACCCGCGTTCCTCCCCCGTGCCCGCGCTCCGTCCCCCCGGTGCCCGCGGTACTCACAGCGCGGTGGCGGCGGCGGGCACGGCGGGCCCCGGGCGCTCCACGCCGCGGGCCGAGCAGTTGACGGCACAGGCGGGCGCGGCGCAGGCACAGCCCGGGGCGCAGGGCCGGCATGCGGGGTCCGGGCCGGCCGCGATGCCCCCGCACAGCAGCGAGCAGAGCAGGCACCAGCCCGGCAGCGGCAGCCGCGCCGCGGGGGCGCCATGTTTGCGCTGTGATCCAGTGTCTCCATTTCCCAAAGGCATCTCTCCCTACGGGCATGGCATGGCCCCGGCGCCGCCGCCGCCGCCGCCCCGGGGCTCGGCCGGGCTCGGCCGGCTCAGCGCCCGCCCGCCATGGCCCGGCCCGCTGGGGCTCCGCTCGCCGCGCTGACAGCCCCGGCCCGGCCCGGCGCCGCTCGGCTCTGCCTGCTCCGCCCGGCCCGCGGCCGCCCCCGCTCCGCCTCCCGCCCGGCGGAAACGCCGCGCTGCTCCAGCCCCGCTCCAGCCCCGCTCCAGCCCCGCTCCAGCCCCGCTCCAGCCCCGCTCCAGCCCGGCCGCCCCCGCTCCAGCCCCGCTCCAGCCCCGCTCCAGCCCCGCTCCAGCCCCGCTCCAGCCCGGCCGCCCCCGCTCCGCTCCCCGCGCCCACCGGCCAGGGGGACCCAGGGGATCCCGGGGGAGAGGGACATCCCGGGCGCGGGGAGTCCCGGAGGCACGAGAGTCCCGTGGGGATGGGGTGTCCCGGGGACAGGGGGATCCCTGGGGAAGGGGTGTCGCAATGGGCGCGGGGACCTCGGGGGGCAGAGGTGTCCCAGGAACAGGGGGATCCCTGCAGCAGAAGGTCCCGGGGGATGGGATGTCCCCGATGGGGCAGAGGCATCCCTGGAGCAGGGGGGATCCGTGGGGAAGGGGTGTCCCGGGGACAGGGGGATCCCTGGGGAAGGTGGTCCCGGAAACAGGAGCATTCCGTGGGACACGGAGGTCCCAGGGGGCAGGAACTTCCCGGGGAACACGAGCATCCTGAGGACAGAACTATTCCGGGGAGCAGAGACATCCCGGACAACACGGACACCCCGGGGAACAAGGATTATCCCGATGAGGGGCACCTCAGAAACTGGGCAGGGCAGACGATGCAGGATGGAATTGTGCTGGAGATGCCGGGGTGGGGGGAGGTCTCACAATGCCAGGGGGGCTTCCCCGCCTGGGCACACAGGGCAGTGGACAGACGGGAGCACCAGCACCCACCTTTCCTGAAGGCCCTCGGCACCCGGTTCCCGTGGCTGGGGCCCATTCCCAAGGACTGTGGGATCCAGTAGGAGCTCAGCTTGTGGGGCACTTTACACACCTACAGTATAGTAGGTACCTTAGAGAGAGAGGAAGAACAAGTCAGGTACTTCTCAGTACATTATTTTTTACCATTAAACAGCAAATCCATCAGGTTTCAGTGCCACTTAGACCCCCCACTGGCCCAGGCACTGGCCATGCCTCACACGTGGTGATGTCAATCCCATCATTCCACAGTCGCTTCTCAGGGATCTGAACTGCTTCTGGTTTAAAGTGATTGAAGGATATCACTAAAATAAAATCTCCATGCAATGAAAGGAAGCATCATTACACAGGGCATCTCCCCCAAACCAGCCCCAGCCCGTTTGGAAGCAGTGGGAGGTGCGAGAGCTGATAATTTCACACCCTAATTTGCTGGTGTTTCACATGTGCCTCTTACAGTGTGATGGGATGTGTGTGCTGAGGAGCTGCCGCCCAGACACTGCAGCAGGGACTGTGGTAGTAGGGCCCTGTCAATCGGCAGGCTCAGGGACCCTGCCTGGCAGCTTTCAAGGGAGAAACCACAACAAAAAGGGATGGGAGAGAGAGACATGCTCACTGTCTGCAAGCATCTGAGGAGTGAGAGCAGCAGGGAGCAAGAGCAGAGGAAGGACTGGAGCCTCAGAGCCTGCTACCCCTGCTCTCCTCTGCTGAGAACAGACCTGGGGAGAGGAGGGCCAGGGGGGCAGGTTTGCCTCTCTCAGTGGCTGGCCTTGACTAAACCTCATCTCTCTGTGTAGTCATTCCACAGGGACACACTCATGCTGGGGCCAGGTCATGAGTTTCAGCACGTGCCACTTGATGGCTGCAGTGGTCCTGCACACCCAGCTCCTGTGAGCACCAAAACACAAGCATTGTACCTCTACCTAAGAGAAAACAGGTTGGAAAAGACCTCCAAGACCCCCGAGTCCAACCTTTCCTCAATCTCCACCTTGTCACCCAGCCCAGAGCACCGAGTGCCACTTGAGCACCTCCAGGGATGGGGACTCCACCACCCCCCTGGGCAGTCCATTTCAATGTTTAACAACCCTCTGCACGAAGAAATTCTTCCTGATGTCCAACATGAACCTCCCCTGGTGCAGCTTGAGGCCATTTCCTTTTGTCCTGTCAGTAGTTACCTAAAGAGGGTGACCCCCACCATCCAGAGCTGCTCATCACCTCCAGCTCTACCTGGTTGGCTCGATCCAGGATAGTCCTGATCCACAAGCACCTCTGTGGATTTAAGTGTGTGGCTGTCCTGCTGAAGCCCAAGGGGTGATGTTAACTGGGGTCTCGGCTTCCCATGTCCAAACTCCGAGCAAACCTGAAATGCGAAGCCTGACAGCATCTGATCCCACTCCTTGGCATGGTGCTTAATGTATGTGAGAATTTACTTTCCAAAAACATTTTGTGCCTTTTGGGCTTGAAATCTGCTTGAAAGACACATCATCCTCAGCATGATGTATTGTGCCCAAAATAGCCCTGCGGTTACTATTTCCTCATGTGACTACAATGTATTTATTTCCTCTCCCTCAAATGTGAATTGCTTTTTTTGGGTGGGTTTTTTTTTGGTTTTTTTTTTTTTTCCTTCTGTACTGATGCCCATATTTTTTCAGATAACAGCAAGGAGAAAATATCCTGCGTGTGGATTGCAATCAGCAGATTAGCCAGCTAATGGAATCCAGCCGATGGAATGGAGTTAAGGGCTGTCCCTGAAAAGCCAGGGCTGCCGAGCTGTAACGAGGGCAGTGAGCGAGGAAATACGTGGGTGAGTGGGCAAGGAGACAGCAAACCTCGACACAGCAGCAAGAGAATCACTTGTTCACATTGAGTCACGATTTTTGATCTCAGAGGAAGGTCTTGTCGCTGAGTTATGATGGGTTTGAAAGCAGTAACTGCAGAAAATGATGGAAGTGGAAAATGTACTCTGGGGCTGGGAGGCTGCTGCTCACTGCGAGGCTGGGAATGGCTCGTTGAGGGGAAGGGATTCTGCCGGTTCCTCCCACTGGCAAGGAGCTGGAGAGTTTCTCAACACTGTTTACTTGCAGCAGAATTCAAACCCCAGCGAAGAGAGCGTTAAGTCCCCCATCCCACCAGCCCTGCACGAGCACACCCAGCACATCGGCAGGTCCTCCGTGGTCAGCAGAAGGTGACAGGGCTGTGGCTGGCTGGGAATGTCGCTGCTGCCTCTGGGCCCTCCTGCTGGATCCCAGAACCACCACAGATGGTTTCAGCAGTACCCAGACAGCCGTGGAACCCACTGTGTGCCCCAAACCCCGAGGCACTCCCTCTTCAGTGCCCATTTCTGTGTATTAAACCCTGTTTGGCTCATGCCTGCAGTGCCCAGTGCAGGTCCATGAGCAGCTGCTGGGGACACCTTGTTGACCAAGCGTGTTCATGGGGAATCTCTGTGCAGATAGAGATGGGATTGCAGCCAGGCTGGCTGAGCCAGGACAGGATCCTTCTGCCTCCAGCAGCATGCATCCACTGTACCTTGTGTGTGGCTTGAAAAAGGCAGCAAAAATGCCTCTCTTGACCTCTTTGCTCCCTTACCACGAGCTGTGGTCCCTTGGAGACCAGCAGTATTCATGTATGGCTGTTATTTCTCTGCTCACAAGAACTCTCACCTGCTGGAAGGAGCACAGCTTGTCCTCAGCAGGTGTCATGGGGAAAGAGCTCTCTCACTAGGGATGGAGTAGAGGTATCCCAGAGGAGGTCATGATCTCTGTTTCTCCTGGGAGGAACTGACTGTTCCTACCCCTGCAGTATGTTACTCTGTGGCTGCATTTTGTGTCCCCCTCACTCGCATAATCACAGAATCATGGAATTGTTTAGCTTGGAAAAGATCTCCAAGACCACTGAGTGCAACCGTTCCCCCAGCAATGCCAGGGCCACCAGAAATCCATGTCCCCTAGTGCCGCATCCACACGGCTTTTAAATCCCTCCAGGGATGGGGACTCTGCCACTGCCCTGGGATTGATGCTGTGGTACTTGAGGAATGACCCCCACGAGGACCATCTCCATCCCCCAGTCCTGGCTGCTGCTCCCCGCCCATATTCCCGTTCCCCTGCTCTAATCCCTCACCCAGGTGCCTGCAGGCAGATCCAGGCGCTCCCCCCGAGCCCCGCGGGACCCGGCGGGCTCAGCCCCTCTCCGCGGTTCGCGGACTCCGGGCGCCCTCTAGCACCGCCGCCGGGATAGAAAGAGGATGCAACGAGCCCTAAAATCAAGGAATCACAGAATCCATTAGGTTGGAAAAGCCCTCTAAGACCATCGAGTCCAACCGCTCCCCCAGCACTGCCAAAGCCACCATTAGCCCATGTCCCCAAGGGCCACATTCACATGGCTTTTAAAGGACAAGGGGGAATGGCTTCCCACTGACAGAGGGCAGGGTTAGATTAGAAACTAGGAGGGATCAGAGCGCCTGGAAGTGCCTGGCCAGATAGAGGCTGGCCATGCTGCTCACGTTGTCATCTTGAAATAAAAACTAATTGCCCAAACTTACCAGTGTCTTGCTAAGAGGAAATGTCCAGCCTTCCAAGGAAAACACTAACAAACAGCATCAAAACTCCAAGCTGTATCATCATCATCATCCTCCAGATTGCTAATTACCTGGAGAAGTGCCACTGGGTAATGGCTCAGATTGGGAATGTAATGTCAGGTGTGTCAGAGGAGGAGCACAAAGACAGCAGTTGTTGATCCTTAGGCTGAGGGATCCCACTCCTGTCTCATCAGCCCCCTGCCACCAATTAGCTCTGGTGAACTCTGAGCACACAGTGGGCACTCGTTTGCATCTCCCCTGGCAAGCAGGAGCTCAGCTCCTGACACAGACAGTCCTGCTGCTCCCCCACCCCGTGGCTCACTCAGGGGGTGGATTTCCCTGTCCTCCCATGGGATCTGCCCTCGGAGCAGACCCTCACCCGCTGCTGCCCCAGGGGCCAGTGCTGGTGAGCCCAGTGCCAGCAGTGATGCTCCAGCGGGAGCTCCTTCCCAACCAGCCCTTAGGGGTGACTTGTCCTCTGGAGCAGCAGCTTTATGAGCCTCT